TGTTTATAAGTTTTGATTTTGATTTGAAGTCCTTTTTAAATCCTAGACACTTCAATAACTGTGTATGTATCTAAAATTATATCATTATCAGGCATATAAAGCTTTTTATCTTTGTCGTCTTTCAATTAAAGCGTCATACTGTCGCCTTCACTTTGTGAATACCCACTATTAGAAAGCGATGGTTATACTATACTCACTTTAAACTACCTACATATACATTAAGAAATAAATCCTATTTCTATGTTGGCTCCACAGTTGTCTATAAACTATCTACACCTTCACCCTATCTTCTATAAATTAAAATGATAGTGAAATTTCAATTCACCTCTTTGCTGTCTGTATACCATCAAACAATCACCTTGGCAGATCCCAGAATAATATCTAAATTATACAAATAATGTTTCCGTTTATAATAAAAAGTACTCACCTCTCTAGGTACATACATTAAACACTTTTATCAGATCTGATGTAAGATTTCATTATTTTGTAACGCTGATTTTTTATCTTTTGTTTTAATTTTTCTAGCTTTCTCTTTTTTTTAAAATCTCTTCATCTTTTCTTTATCTGTTTAGAACTTGCTTGTTATTTTCATAAATGTGACATTTTCACAAAAATCTTTTTGGGTTTATAAAAACTATATATAGATATCTCATATTGTCTCACGGTAGTCCATAAACCTTCATTCATAACAGTTTTGGAAGGATAAAAAGCCTTCTATAATTTTTACTTGATTTTTGGCGAGTGTAATATGACTCTCAGGAGAAATCTTCTATTTACACTTAAGTATTGTTTTGTTCATCCAAAACCACCTATCTGATTTATAAATCATTACCTTTATACTTTTCTAAACTTATAGCAAAATCAAACTAATAGAAAGGTTCTCAAAATAGTTTTAAACCGATTTTTTTGGTTCAATATTATCTCCTTCTCCTTTTTATCGACAATATTTTTTCTCTTTTTTTCCACTTTTACACTATCTTGCCAAAAACCCATTGTCTTGAGTGTCAATATCCCATTCTGTTAATTTCTCACTCATTTTTTCCATAAGTTGAGGGCAAGAAGTTTTCATAATTCTCGTACATAACTCTTCCGTTTCTACTACTATTCCAATCCTCTATAGCTTATATTTCCTCTCCTTATCCATACATTTTTTATGAAAACTCTTAGCCTTTCTTTATCTTTTTTCGCAATGAAATGCGCTTTTGGCGTTATTGGACGATGAGTATGTGATATCATTAATGTCAAAATTAACAGGAGATGAGTCAAAAGAATTATACGGCGATGGTACTAGTAATATCACAATAATTTTCTTAATGCTATTTATGGGCGAATTACCTGAGTGTTCTCTATGACTGATGGCGATCGATCTCCTTTTGAGTTCAGTTATCAACAATCATACCCAACAAGATATATAATCTAGGAATAATATGTAAGATTAGAAGGGATATTCTGCGATACTTCCTTGCTATCATTCTAATCAATATCATCAAGTATTGATAGCTCCTCTTCCATAAATTTGCAATTTTTTTTGCAATTTGCATCTTCCATAAATCTTCCATAAATTAGCAATTTGCATCCGGTGGCAATGAACTCTACAAATTAAAAAAAAATTCATATTTTTATATTTAACGTGCCAATATCAAGATATAAAATTTATAACACATAAAAAATATATTTACCCTTAAAACAAATTTCAAAAATTTAATTAGTACATTATTATAGCCAGATAAGTCAAGTGTCTTCTTTATAAAGTTTGTTCGTTGTAAACAGGTGTAAATATAGTTGTATCAGTATACGGCGTACTAACACGTGTACTTATCAAACAAAAATGGCAAATCACACTATATGTAACATAAATAAATATATCAATTAACTTACCATATTCAGCCCTGTTTTGCATTATATCACCGATTCCTGAGATATTGCTAATTGTATCATTAGTATTATTCACCTTATTATTGAGAAAATTAAAAAATTTCGCGCCCTCGCCGTCATTTGTCGTATACTGAGCCATAATAAACTTGTATCAATGTCCTCCCCCTTACGCCCCGCGAACACTGATACAATGTTATTTGGATCAGTATACGTACGATTTTAACTGATGTTGAAATTGATTTAGTATACGTGAAATTATCTCGGTAATTATAGGTCTTTTTTAAAAAAATAACCCTAACATTAAGATCATGGTTTATTATGTACTTTTGTATAAAAAAAACAAAATACCTAAATTTGTTGATGACTCAGTATACTTAGGAGGTATCGATATATACCTAGGTCAAGGTATTAAATACGAAAATATTTATGTTTTTTTAGATAACTGTGTGATATAAAGATATAAATTACTCCCCGACCGGGACCCCATATGATTTCCTGACTGACTGATGACCTCTTTATCGTCTTAGAATTTTCTTTTTTTCAAATTTTAGTTTTGTAATAATTGTAATAAGTCTTGTTACTTGTCATTTTATTTTCGTTAATTTAGTTATGTACTTTACCCTTAGTATTCCTTTTTTATTTTTCAGTACTAGAGTTGTCTGAAAGAAATAGCTTGTTAGGTTACCCGTTGGCTCCTTAGTATCTGTATTTATATGTACTATTAATGCAACAAAGTGTAAATAAATAAACAAAATTCAGTAAGATTGTGTATTTGATAATAATTATCTATTTTAAATTAGAATGAATTATGGCAAAAAAGGCTTACGGTCTCCATAGATATTTATACACACATGGACGTAAAAATGTGAGAATAAGCGTATTGAATATATTAGAAAAGTAATAATAATTTAGTGGAGTTACAACAATATTTTTCTTTGACCGCTTTTTTGTATAAAAAAGGTGATCATATGTGCCTGACAGATGCCGTTGATTTGCGGTTCTCTGCCATGCCAGTTTCCTCGCAATGCGATTATTACTTTTACCGTACGAGTAAGCTATAATTCCGCATCTAGAAAACAAATCCATTGGTATACCGGGATTTAAACGCACGTACCTTAGGTTGAGAGTCGGCCGCACAAGCTACTATTGCCATACACAGCAACAGTAAAAGTGTATTAACTAAGTTTGGTAAGTATCATCAAGTGGATAATTAGAATCAATAATTATAATTATTCGCAACAGAAACGCTCATGATTGCAGTTATTAATTAAATTATGACAATAATTATCACGTAGCTTAAATCAATATTTGGGACATTAAAATCTCGATAACGTATTATTAAATTAATATTCCCGTTGTAATTTGCCGTATTATATTCCTGTTTTATAAAACCATATCTGATAACATTCTTGTAAGAAACTAAAATGTCTTTCATTTCCTTTTAATTTCTATCCAAAAATTATTATTACATTAAAGCGATTTATTTAAAATCAAACAAAATATTATATTTTTATCCTATAAGCAAAACTAATTCATATCTAGTTCTATTAATATTTCTTATCAAATCACGCTACCATTTATAATGTCAATTACTTAACCAAGTTATATGTGAGGAGATAGTGTTGTTGAAGCTAACTTTAATATCCCTAGATCGATAAACAAAACTAACCCCTATCGTTATAAAAACTAAATCAGTCTTGCTTAAAAGCAACTTTGAAGCTTTGTAGCTAGGTGCAACTTTCAACCCAATCCCCAGTTAAATGGCAGTTTTTCTAGGTGCACAATTAATGCTTACCCATACGGTGAAGGAAGACATCGTAAAGAAACCAGCGCATTTAAAACACAAACGGTGACACGCACAGAACGCTAATCACCTACTTATACCTGTATCATATAGACGGTAGAGGTCAAGAGCAAGGGTAGCTCAATATATTTAGATTTTTTAAATGTGGCGACACTATTTATTTAACTTTAGAAATAATAGACCGCATCTCACTGAACATCAAGTGGGATTGTGGCCAAACGTTTGTCGAGTTCTGTATAAAGACAATAAGTTAAATGTATAAATAAAAATAAAAAATATTTCTCCAAAAATCAAGTTATGTGAGGTTTGTGGTCGAGTACCTTTCGACAGATTTTAGATATTTTACACCAAATCCTAGGATTCCACTGCTTTTAACAAATACACAGTATTGAATAATTAACTATATAAATATCTGAGATTTATCTTACATATAACATATTATTATCTTGACATTGTGCTATATTGCGAAGATACAATCGCCCTTGGCAATAACATGATGGCTATCATGATAATGTAAGATGTGATTTTTCTGAATGATTTTACGACTGGTTGCAACTTATTTTTATAATTTGTAACCAACTTGTAACAAAGTTGATTTAGTAAATCCTCATTTAATCTCTTCAGAAAAACAATACCGTATCCACCGTGTTTGTAATTAAACTTATCCAAAATGGCTCGACCGATTTAAAAAAAAAATTGTGTGCACATCGGTTAGGTTTGCGAATCGGACATATTATTCGTTACAACATATTTTTCATTACCCTTAATGTTAAGGGTGGTCCAAAACTAAACTACATTTTTTATCTTTTAGACAAATTATTTTGTTGTTATTTTTTTTGATACTACATACAAAAATACATACAACCCTTAATTTTCATCCCTCTACGATCAAACCCTATTTTTTTATGATAGTAGATAGTTATTTTTATTGAACTAAAAAAATGTTTCTTAGAAATAATATACATGGCAAAACAACGTTTGCCGGGTCAGCTTGTTTGTCATACAATCTTGGTGGATGTTCACTTAGTAGTGCATTGTTTAATTATATCTATTCCTGGCAAAGACATAAAATGACCTTATATACGGTCAAACAGATAACAAGCGTAACAGTTACGGGTCATCTAAGGTTACGAGGAACTTTCCTATGTTTCCACGTTACACTGTAGCTATCACGATTGTACATATAATATAAATTAGTTCGATAATCTTTCAGTGCACATTAACATCCACTTCTGGATTACAGCTGAACTGAGTTATAAAGTATCGTATAAAGCTAAGAAAAGTGAGCTTAAATTTTCGTTAAAGACATTCTCTCGGAAAAATGGTACCCAATACCCTTGTAGTAATATTTTTCTCCTTATCAAGTTTATGTCTGGCCGGAGATATTATTTTAGATTCCAACAAAGACGCCTGTAGGGTAAACTTATCTTGTGCGACATGCATTACAAAGAAATCCTGCACCTGGTGTGTCACAAAAAGTCGATGTACCCAGCAAGCTTGTGGTAACGACAATGTAATTTATCCGAGCGACGTCCCAGCTCTCATGTCTGGCCCGGATTTTTGCCCCAGAGTTGATGAATCAAAGCCAGTCACTATCAAAAGCGGGGCAAAGGAAATATTAGCTGTGAAAATTACACAGATTTATCTGTATATGGCGTTTACTCCTTGGAAATGCAAAATCACTTTGAGGGGTAAAGAGAAAATTGTGCCCGCGGTGCTCATTGGGGATAAAGTATATTGCGAAGTAATGGAGTTCACAAACGACACAGAAGATCCTTCGATTGAAGGCAGTGTTGCAGTCTTGTGGGATTACAATAAATCTTTTGACGGTTCACTACCGTTTAAAATATGTAGATGCGATTTAGATCCAGCCTGTAAGGCCTGTAAGCTTTAAGATTGTAAGTTAATTATTGGTTAATAAATTTTAAACTTTAAGCTAATGCTTTTTGTACTGTATTTACTACTAGCATTTCTCAATATCGTAATATAACTGCATGTACATCAAGGAGACTTATTAAATAGTTTACGTCGAATGGCAAATACGCGTAGGAGTCATACCTACTCTGATTCTATCTCCAGCTTTTATTTACAATCCTCCGTACGGGTAAAAGCATATAGCTCTTTAGTCTATTGGCTTAACCGGTGTATGCCATTTAAGCTCCCAGTTCATATTTCCGAAATCTTTTACTGGCATCGTCATATTTCAGTCACACAAATCCTTAATAAATAACACATGCGCAAATCACAAAATTTCTTATGAAAACAAAATAGATTTAGACAAGAAACTCAGGCTCATTAGGTTTATCCCTCAAACATATAAAGCATTAGAGGGTGCTTTGTAACTCAAACGCTTTTTTCAGAGACATGCTAAAATTTCAGAATGCTTGGGCACACAAAGGCCTGGCTCATTTAATAGTTTGGACTTTAAGTTGGGCATAATATGTGCTGAGGATGCCCGTATCGTACGTGGAGAGAATTTATTTTAAATTTTTACACTCGTTAGGTAAACTACTTGTTCACTTTTTCGCATCTGAACGTTGCTACTAGTTGTAGACTAACAACGTTTCAAAGTTTTCCGTACACAAGCAAGATAAACAGAACTTAGTGGAAGTTATTTTAACTTAGAACTCGCGAGTTATTGATTTAGGTGCCGTAAATAACAAACATACTTGATTTATGCTTCATCAAGCTTATAAAAATAGGTATGGAAAGAAGTAAGATTCTGAAATCCCATTACCAAGCATGGGGCTACTACAAATACGATGGGTAAGAGATTTACTTCACGAAGCTAGATATATTTTCCCATATTTGGAATAACGAAAAATTTTCTATCCGAACTAACCGCATTGCATTTTAAAGTGGAGTTTGTTTGTTTTTTAAAAGATAATTTACCTTACCTATTTGTTTAAAAAGACACATTATTCCAGAGCTTTTCTGGGAAAATTGACTAGCAGAATAAATGAGAAACCGCACAAAACCTCCGTTCACTATTAATCAAACCGAGTTTTCTTGACTTCGATTATAGATAATGCGAGTTTTGTTAGATCCCTTCGCTCGTAATGCAGTTTTTGTAGATTTCCTTTAATTAGCTAGGTAACCAGTAATACAATTAGGCTTAGATTAAACTCTCCATAAAAACTTTTCATATAATTCATTGTTCGCCGTTTATTGTTCTAATACATTTCAGGAAAAAATATTAATATCGAGAGATCAGTATCTGTGGATCAGATCGATTCCAATGATTATTATTTTTTAAGGCACTGAAAGATTTTGGCGTTGATAAATAATAAAAACGAAACAGGCAAAACTATCTGCATATTGGCGGGTGACGGATGACCTGAGAGTGTGAAATCTTCATCCATCAAATTCGGGTTTTATATCTCCGAATACTAATCAAATAGATTTGAAATGCAGTACACGTTTACATTTATACATAATATATGTAGTTGTTTGGTTTTTTCATGGACATGATTATGATTGAAGACACCGAGTAAACATTACTGATTTAACCCCCTTTAACCAAAGGTGTATGGACCTTTCAAACACTTCACAAATTAGATTTATTCTTTACAATATACTTGCTTTTTATTTAATAATACATATAGATGAATTACATCACTACGTATTTATCTGAGAAGTTTTAAAATCCCCCATCGGTGCACAGGGCATACTATTCTCAACATTTACGTCACTCCTTAAATGTCCCTAATCTTTTTGACAAAAACAAATTCATCTTATCACTTTGATAATAGTGATGGGTATGACAATAAATGCTAATATACATTATCAATACCACCAAACTTTATCATTTTTATCTCATATACGAGTACCTATGTAGTAGTTATAATAATTTATATAAAGAAATTTGATCCTTGTTAAGTCTACCATCGGAAAAACTTTTGTGCGTGTATAAATGTAAATGATTACATTCCTTAAAAACATTATAAAACTTTATCGCGTAGCTAATATTTTTATTACATTATTTAAATTTGATAAATTTTATTGGTGTTATTAAAATATAAAAATAATTCGAAACACCAAGTACTGTGAATACGTAGACACGTTGATAATATAACAGAAAAGTCAAATTCATCTGGAAAATCTCTAGAATAAGAAATACCTTTTTAAAATATTAAATAAATATTTTAAACACAAATGGATTAGATATAATGTAGAAGTGTCACATTATTCTTTCTTCTTTATTGAATTATTTAAATAAATATGTAATGTCTTACACATATATATTAGTAAATAAGGATTTATGAATTATAATAATAATATTATCGAATTATAAATAACCTTAATGTTACGCGTGTATAATGGTAATTGTTATGATTCGTAGCATTTTAAATACTTATTCATTATAGATAAATTATTTATATCCAAACAGATTATTGTACAGATAATAAGTTATTTTGTCAAACAATGCACACCTCTAACAGTTTGTGTTGATAACAGATATTATATCTGTATTATATATTTTTTATTTCTAGTACTTTGAAAAGCTATACCAGAGTCTCTTTTTACGTTTCGCGCTAAGAGGTGCGGACGCGTGCATCAGGAAAAATAATATTATTAATATTGTTACTTAATTGTCGTGAAGTGCCTTAAACATGAAGCAACTATGTACATATTAAATTACAAATAAGGATAAAACGTATTTATATTAAAATTACAAGTGTCAACGAACAATGACTTACGGAACACATGTTATTACTGCCGTTGGCAATATTACAGACGAAAAACTCAACGATTCCTCAGAAGTGAAGTGGTGGAACGTGCAATGGAAGCCAATTCTTGCCGAGTTCGTATCAACGTTTTTACTAATTTTCCTTGGCTGTATGACATGCATCCCCCTAGACGGATTAGCAACTCAGCCACCGCTCTATGTGTCTATTGGATTCGGACTGATAGTTCTATTCAATATCACTGCTTTCGGCCACATATCTGGAGCGCATATGAATCCATCGGTTACCCTAACATCCATGATTTGGGGTAAAACGTCTATTGGCCTCGGAATCGGATACGTTATTGCTCAATGTGTCGGTGCGATCGTAGGGTACGGGCTATTAATTATAGTATCGCCCTTTGATTTAATACCGGGAGCAATCTGTACCACTCAGCCTCGTGTAGACATGAATCCGTACCAGGCACTTATCGTTGAGATAATTTTATCATCGGCTTTGGGTTTCATTAACTGTGCCGTATGGGATCCGGTAAATGTGGATAAAGATGAGGCAAATTCCTTGAAATTTGGTTTGACCATTGCTGCGTTTTCAATTGCTGGAGGACCTTTGACTGGAGCAAGTATGAATCCAGCGAGAACATTAGGTCCCTCCTTATGGACTAACAATTGGAATACGCACTGGGTGTACTGGGTTGGTCCACTTATAGGAGGTGCGTTTGCTGGTGTATTTTATAAATTAATTTGGTTCAAACGTTAAAAGGATGTTTTATATAATACTCAATAAGATTTCATAATTTTCTGCTCGAATAAACCATTCGACAGGTGTTCTTTGTATAATAATATTGATTTGTAAAAAAATAAAAATACAAATCGAATATCGTAATATATATTATATACATATAAAAGAAAAAACAATATTCCTATTATTATAAAAACATTATAATATTAATTAAATTTGTCATGACTGACTGGAACTGTACTAGAAAAACTGGAATCTCTACTATTAAAATTGATATTTAATTTAAGGAAAATAACAAAACAAAGAAGCTTCTTTGTTTTGTTATTTCGCAGACACAAAACAACGACATATAGCTGTTTGTCTACAGAAACTTTTTGTAGTCAAAATCGTTAAAATGTATAATATTGTTCGTAATAGGTAATTAAAATATGTACGTAGTAGCATAGGTTTTATTGTTTATTTGTAAACATAATAATAAATGCTAAAATACATCACATTTTTTATTAATTTTTATACATACCTCAGTATTTCTTGTCAACATTATTTGGAAATTATTACGATGTATGACATAAATATAAAAATCTACTCTCTCTTCTCTAGAATGTTGTGAACATAGTAATAAAGTATATTGTCGCTAATAATAAACTATAAGAAGTGGCTGAATTATTTTTAAAGTATTTATAGTGGAATACATTTTAACAAATGCGGGTAATCACCGTATTTTATTTAAATAGTTTGCTACAAGTTTTTCCATAGCTTCTTTCGCATGATTTCCTGTTTTATATATTATTTTGATCCAAACTTTACAATCCAGGTGCTTAGCCTCAAATTTCTTCAACAGTATAATTATATTTTTATGTGCAAAGTAGATTCTCTTTAGCTGACACGTCGATGTCGAATTGTTAGGAGACAGCGTTAATTGAACACACAAACAGAATAATCCACAGGTTTGCTTATACTAGAACATAGATAGAAATAAAGGACCGTAAAAGATACGCTGTGTTACATTCCTGTGTCTTTCTGTTTGTTTACGAAATGAAGTTATCAAATTAAGTATCTCTAAAGACGCTCGCTTTGTTAGCCCCGCTAGTGGCTAGGCATGTGACTGGACTTGAGGTCAGGCGTGCAATGAATATATGTTTATGCAGAAAAGGAAACTAGCTCGTCCAAGACAGAAAAATCGACGGCGTGTGTCAGTCTGAAGGCTGAGTCTACGCTCGCCAACACAGCCCAAAAACACCCATTTTAGTGGTCTTTCTTATGAAAATTTTTTATCATTTCGCTGGTAATAGAACCGCCGAGATGCAGGAACTGAATAAATAAACCATTTTACTGAGCAAATGAGCAGTTGTAGACGAATTGTGTGAATTCTAAGTTTCAAGTACAAAGTCGTGTCGATAACTAACGAAGCTAGTATTGCGGCCGACATAATTAAATTAAATTGTGGCACATTAAGTTAGCACTAGTTTCAACAAATAAAAATTTAGTAGATCGGAAAAGCTTTTAAGCCGAAAGTAAATTAATCGGTTCATCAGGATCAGTTTAACTTGTATATATACGTAATATTGTTGAAAGTGGATGAATATATCTAATCATGTTATTGCTTCCAAGCTTATGTATTAAATTTCGTATATATATATGTATGTCTATCCACAAATTTCTGACATACAAAACAAGTCACTAGTGCGACTCCCATCCCTGAGGTCGTAGGTGCACTAATAGACTTTATTTTATTTATTTACCACATTCCTACGATAAAGGATAAGGAAAGATCGCGAGGATTCCGGCATGCTTTAGGCGTTACATATTTTGAATTCCTTAGGTTATGTATTTAAAATTTGTAAGAAAAAAAATAAAAAAAAGAGAAAAAGGAACGTTTTTATACATTACATAAATTTTAAGTCGACCAAAGAGTTTAATATAAATAAAGAACGTATTGTCACGTTGATTTGTTTTTTGTTGATTATTTATGAGTTTAAGGTGTGAAAAAAAGCCTGATAAATATTTCAATATCAACCGAAGGTTGTATCAAATTCTCGCGTCATTAGGTAACTTTAAAGGGTAATTCGTTAGAGTGAGCTCGTCGATAAAATACGATTTAGGTAATTGAACGAAAAGTCCCAACTATTTGTCGGGCGGTTTTTGTAATGGCGGGTAAGGCGAAGAGATTTATATTGTTTCTTCTTATAAACCGTTGTTTTTGTTGATCCAGCAACCCCAACCAAATACTATATTGTATCCATTGTATAGGTCATCGACGGCAATAATAACAAAACGCAAAGGTTAAAAAAAATGTTTTAATTGTGGGATGCAAGTTTAATAAGTCTTTTTTAACTCTTTAAATTCACTTCACACTTACTGACTCCAATTTTTCTCGCTTTTTCTCCTTCCGAGGCCCCTTTCATCTTTAACCATTTCATTGAAAACAAAATTATCACTAACATTTCAAAAATCACATTACATAAATTTACTAAACATCTCAAACAATATCTTGTTAACCTGTCCTATTCTGATACTGAAAATATTCCTATTGTGCAAAAATAGTTTAAATATAAATGTGTAGAAATCATTCATATAATTTTTAAAATACTATTTACATGTCAAAAGGATGAGACTGGCTGCCCACAACACAAGGAATCCTAGTGTGTGGGGCCAGTGCACTTTACTTTATCTAAATATCTTGTATATTGTGTATAATAAAGTTTTTTCTTTCTTTCTTTCAAATAATATTGCGCACAATAGCTGATTAGTAGCATTATGGTAGTTACGAATCGAAATATAAAATATAACAACATACAAAGCCAAAGCTTGTCAGCGTTATATATATATGAGTACATAAAATATTATAGATTAGCCTCCGCCACCGCTCGCATCGATTTCGTGTATTTTGATGTAATGTAGTAATTGTTTTATTCAAGTTAATTTCCATAACTTAAATACTTAAATCTTCCAAAGAATCACAATATCTATTAGTGAAAACTGTACAAAAGTCCGTACTGTACTTTAAGAGTTTATTGCGTTAATATACACAACTAGGGGACTTCATTCTGTCCTCACAGTTTTCATTAATTACTCATTTGTTGCTTCACATATAACAGCGTAAACACTATTCGACAGAAAGAGACTAAAGAGTAATTTATACAGTGCATACTGGTTTACATTTTGTGAATAGTGGAGGTTGGTTACCTTATCACCAATTTTTTATTTAAATAAAAATAAGTATATTTCTATATACATTATATATGTTATACAATATGATACTTGCAAATGCTATGTAATAACATATCACATTTTCCCATATGTAATAGACGGTTGACGTACGGGGTTTGGGAATTAGATTGATATCAGGGTCACGTTGACCCTTGTCACTGTTATACTCATCACAAGCATGTTCGAAGTTTAAATTCGCTTCAAAAGTCTAAATCTATGATGCTGCTACTGAAGATAATGTCATGCATGTAATAATCGCGTAGATGATAGACATACTTCTGTGTCTGTTTTCACTTACCCACGATGGCAGTAATCCTCCTTCCCGTCGTTCTTAGTCTTCCGGCTCTCTTCACCTCATCAGGAACTTAACATCGCCAGTTATATTTGGTTTGGTGTCCTTTTTGATAAGCATTTTTGTTAGTTGCGTATTCTTTGGGACATAAACTAAGGATCGTAGAATTTAATTATATGCTACCGACTGGCAATTATGGTTTTTTTTTAGTTTTTTTTTAAAGAACAGGCCCACGGGCAGGTGGCTCATCTGATGTTACGTGACCCTACTTTATTATTATATATCCCTATATCATATATTATTATTTTTAGTCAAATTGGTTCGGAAATACGTGTTAGCTGGTTCCACACACTGGTGGTGCACGGCAAAAATGCCTTAAACAAAGCTCAGTTGAGTATCTACTATTTATACTCTCAAATATAACTAGGGACAGATATAATTACGTCCGTTACATAGGTCTTTTGACGTGGCAAAAATCCTTATACAGAAACGACTATTACTTCGCAAGGAATCGAATACTAGCACTGGCTATTATGGTTATATAAAATTATCGCATAATAGATTATAAAGTTTCTATATTTAGTAAAACCTCGTTAAGAATAAAATCATTCAGAACTTTATGTTGGACGCGAAGTTAAAATTAGATAGAACAAAGTTAGAATAGAAACAAATGACAATAAGAAATAACGTAGGTATAATTTTTTATTTGAATTTGGCTTCGAAATCATCTCACGAGCCATAAAATGGAGACATAAAAAATTGCGAGTGCAACATAACCGTATTCCTTGTGAAAGAAACGGAATAGTTAATTTAGTTAGCAAATGGGTAGCAATTTGCAACGTTCGATAAATAATTACACACTCGGTACTTGTTGGAAAAATGTTTTGAAAGGACTTATATAGAATGTTCTTTAATTGAATGTTTTCCATGTTTTATTTATTATAAAAATATAGGGAACAACGATATACAAGGTAGGTTTTTCAACATGACAAAGCAATAAACAATAAATAATAGAATAAGGTTAGTATCTAAAAAATAAAGCCTAACATCACCTTCAATCCTATATGAATAGGTTTTAAGGGGATACTAACCTAATTCATATGAACAACGAATATTATATTCATATAAACAAAATCAATATTTTTACTCGGTTTTACTAAAAGGAGTCCTACCAGGCGTATTAAAATATTATAATATAATGTAGATTTTTATACATTTAACTGCTCCACATATTTTATCTATTTAGTATAGAGATAACACATTATCACTGTATATATCATATAAATATAATCCCAAGCAGCAAAAGTAGATTTTAGTATGCGTATCAGATATTTAATAGCCTTCTCCTTTAGAAACAACATTACAAAATTTCATACATGAAATAATATTTCATCATCGTGGGCGACTTCCACGAGAATATAACTTTAATTTTAATTAGTCTTTGAACTTAATTAAAAATACGAAACCATATAAAGTCAAGTATAATGTCGACAAAATATGTTTTATTTATTATAGT